CTGATACACTGTGGCTTTGCCAGAGGTCTATGTGACTGCCTTTCTGGCAAAATCAGTTAATACCATCTCAGAAATATGCTATATAAGTTTCACCTCTATTTTATTCCCACTCTGAATGACAGACAACAGGCTAAGAATATTAGTCATGCTACCTGTTACTTCTCACTTAGGAAGCTGAGAGCTTGACTAAGAAAAAGTAGTAGACATTTTTTCCTCTTAAAATAGAACCATATTTTTTAATATTTTATTGTATATAGTATGTAATCTTCCTTTATACTTTAGAGATTTGCTTTTGAGTTTAGCTTGCAATTTTCATATTGTATTGTTCTCAATCTTTTAAAAAAACTTAATTAGGAATCCAGTTCCTTTTTTCATATATATCTTTTTAAACATCCAATTCAGAAATTGTAAAGCTTTAATGTCTTAAGCTGAAGTGTTTAGATTTGCTACTTTCACTTTAGATATATTCTAGATATCAAGTTTAATGTTTCTAGATATCAAAAACTAATCTGACTCACAGATTTCAATTCCACAAAATTTGTAACAGAAAACTCTCTCTGCTCTTTGGTATAATATCATAAATCTAGTTTTTATCATATGGTTATCAAGTAGCTTTGAAAGTTCTGATTTTGAATTTTTTTTAACTTTGCTAACTTATTTTATCTTGATTTTTCTAGACTGTTGATGCCACTATCTCGGTTTCCCCATCTGCACCTAAATGCCACTGAGTTGTATTAGGTTCATAATGGCAGTTGTTAGCTAGGCCCTTCTTGTTCCTCCATAACATAGGTGGCAGGGAGGCTTCTAACTGGTACCCTACGAAGGGTAAGCTCATTTTCCACAGCAGGGTCAGAGTGAGCTTTCTAAACTATAAATCTGATCAGTGAAGTTATGACCCTTTGGGTTGGAAATCTGCCTTCCATACATAGGACATTCAGCTGCATTGCCGGCTTCTCTCCACAGAAGGCAAATAGCTCTCTGCCTTCTTCCCATTGTTTGCAACAAACATTTCTCCTGACATTGCCAAATGTCCTTTGAGTTTCAGAATCACTCCTATTAAGAACCACTGTCTTAAAGACCTTCAATGCCTCCTTATTTGAAAGGCAGTCTTTAAATTCTTGCCATATCACAAAAGCTTTCATAATGTTCTTCTGCCAAACTTTTCCAGCTCAGTCTCTGTGTTTTGGTGCAAGTTTTTTAAAAGTCTGGTTCTAAGTATACCCAGATATTGGTTACCACATAAAGTCTATACCACTTTCTTCCTTTAATTAGCTATTGTTTTTCTTCTAGTCCAGTGGCTCTGAAACTTAGTGTGCATATATCAGAACCATACAGAAGGCTTATTAAAACCCAGATGTCTCACTGGTCCTCCTGCCCAGAATTTCTGATTATTTGGGATGGGGCAAGGAATTTGCATTTCATTTCTTACTCAAGTACTATTTCTTACTCAAGTACTATTTTTTAAGTACTATTGGCTTACATCCTTATTAGTGGTTTGGAAGTATAGGACTCCTGCAAAGTACCCAAAATCCTTCATCAAAGTCCACTGTGGTTTCTCCCTACCCTGTTCTCCCCTTGTTAGGAATTTACATATCTAGCAAGTTCCATCGTGGTACTAATACCTATCTTTTTTTTTTTAAGATTTTATTTATTTATGCATATAGAACTGGAGTGCAGGTAAGAGGTGCAGGGGTGGCGAGAGGCTTCACCAGAGACAGAGTGGGGAGCAGAACAGGCAGATCTATGAAGTACACTGCTGAGGGGAGCAGCAGGTGACACAGGAGAGGTCTGCAATGCCATGTGGGTTACTCACCTCAAGGCCAGGGATTGAATTTGCACTGAAGTAGCCACAGCCAACCTGCTGCACAAGCAGGGAGAACCCACTAATATCTTTCAAGATCAGTATTCTAGTCCCTTCAGAGACTTCCTCCTCACACTTAAGATTCAGCTTGATCATCTCCTTTAGGAAGCCTTTTTTGACTGCTGCATGGTGTCCAGCATAGCACTGTTTACATTATCCATCTACTCATCTATCAGTTTCTCTTGCTAACTGAACATTCAGTGGAAATTTCTCCATTCAGAAGCCTGGCAGATTTTAGGCACTGTGTAGATTTTTCATAGCCCACATTTCTTAAAAAGTATTATAATAGATTAATAAAGTTATAAGATAGGGCCCTCCCTGGTAGTGCAACAGATTAGGATGCAGCACTGCAAGCCAGCGGCAGTCACTTCAGTGTGAGTTCAATCCTGGGCCCCAGAAGTGATCCACATGATGAGGCAGACCTCTCCTGACCTGCCCGCTGCTCCCCTCAACAGTGCACTTGGTCGATCTGCCTATTCTGCTTCCAACTCTGTCTCTGGTGAAGCCTCTCACCACCCCTGCTCCTCTGCTTTGTACCACAGTTCTGTATAAATAAATAAATCTTTAAACAAACAAACAAACATATATATATATATATATATAAATTATAAGATATTGGAAATCCTTGGACTACTTCAGCCCAATACTTTGACCTAGTTACCAAGAATCCTTACATTTACCTCCTTGCACAATTACCAGGTCAGCAGGGATGGGTGGGGGAAGCAAGGAGGGGGGAGCATCTCTCCATCCCCTACAATTCCACCAACCCGTCAAAATTCCCTGCTGTGCTCTCTGACAGGACCTCACCCCAGGGCAGCAGCGCTACTTCTACAGCATCATGAGGATTTACAACACCAGGCCCCAGTGGGAGGCCCTGCAGGCCCGCTACATTCGCACCCTTCAGCACCAGCAGCAGCTTGGTGAGTTTTAGCTACCTGACCTAAACAAGGACCTCAGGAAGACACTAGTGGGCTGCAGCTGGAAGTCGAGTTTCCAGATAAATAGCGCAAGTGTAACGGCGCCTGCCAGCACACTATTTCTCAGCCTGGTTGGCAGACCAAGCTTGAAAATGGTTATACCTGACAACAGAAAGTCATGTTTTGGGGTAAATTCTTAAAGAAATCAGAATATGGATTGTTCAAACATGTTAACAGTGCTGCTCCGAGCTGTGCAGGAACTTGACCTAGCAGACCTGGCAATGGGTTTAGGCAGACGGTGATCTAGGCTCAGGTCAGCTCAGCCCTCGCTGGTTCTATCAACTCAGAGGCTTGATTTACTCACAACAACAAGTTATATTTATGGAGTGTTTGCCATGTGCCAGACAGTGTGCGAGGAGCTTTCTATATAATATCTCGTTTTCTCCCTGCTTTACACTTGTGGGAAACTACAGCTTGGGCAGGTGAGATAACTGGATAAAATTATATGGTGGTAAATGTTAGTTGGGACTATCAGCTCCAAAGTTTGTGCAGATTCCTCTGATGTTTCTCTTCTTCTGCCGAATTCATGGTGTTTTAAGTACAGATGAAATAATGGTTACAAAAACCCTCAAGACGTGTGGGCAGCAGCCTACTGAAGATGCAGTTTTTATTAAATCCCTTTCTTCTAGGAAATGTTTTCCATCTCCAGCTCCTCTCTTAGTTGTCCTGCTGCCCCCCCCCCCCCCCCCCCCAATAGAGGTTTTTTTTTTATAAATTGTTCCTTTGGCACTAGTCCATCTATTTCATCTCCTTCATACTATGTACCTGTACTTGTACAAAAGGGAGTCAATGGTTTTGGTAGGCAATTTAATAAAAGGAGCAAGAATAGCAATAGTTATCCTTCAGCAGGACCTCCTATGTGCCAGGCAGTGTTGTAAGCACAGTGCATGTTCTGCCTTATTTAAAATTCAAACTCCTCTACAGGTGCCTTTATAACTCACATTTTACAGACGAGAACTTGAGACATGGATCAGTGAAATAACTTGGTTGTGAAAATAGTAAACATTGAGACTGGGATCCTGTCTGGCCTCTGTGAGTTGCAGCAGACTCATCTAAAAGCTTCATTGATAGCATAAAGTTGCTTAGAGGCCAATGAAAGCAGAAACAAAGATGTTCACTCTTTAGTGCACATAAAATCCACCTGTGTAGAGACGATTAAAATGTATATTTCCAGTCCCAATTTCCCGAGGTTCCGATTCAAAATGTCTTTGGCATAGAACCAAAAACCTGCATTAAAGAAATATACATATTAAATGTGGCCCTGCTCAGATAATTCTTTAGTAGGTGGTCTGCAGGCTATATTTTCAAAGCATGCAATAGAATATATTTCTGTTTTGCAGAAAGTTTTGAAAATGAAGATAAACAATTCACACACAGATTTCCCATGGCCCAAGTCCCTCACCAAATCATTTGTCATGTTAATTATTGTGCATTTATGGACTGAGTAGTGGTAAATGCAAAAGAAGAAAATATTCCACCTGTACTTCAAGATCAGCTAAGTGTGCTGAACACCATTGCTTCTTCCCTTCCCTCAACAATATGTGACTGTTGGCAGTGTTGCCTGCTTACTGGTTTTACACAATTGTTGACTTTGCAGCTTCTCCCATTTCTCTCCACCAGGCTATATTACCCAACGGGAAGCCTTGACATGTGCTGCTGTGCTCAGAGAGTCAACCAAGAGAGCCTTAGCCAAGGTAGCTCCTCAAAGATCCATCTCCCGCAAGGCTTCTGCCATGACAAGAACCTGGCTGGCAGCAGTACCTGTTTCTGTGGGTCCACGCAGGGCTCACACTGCGGGGCTCTGATCTCCCAGCAAGTGAGGCTTTTCACATGTGCTGAAAGGCAGTTTGCCCTTGTATCCTAGCATCTAGTGGGTACTTAGTGCATATTTGCTAAATGATAATGAATAATACAAACCCCATGCTCAAAGACATAATTTCTCCCTGTTCACATAAATTTTACTAGCAAGAAGAAGTTGAAGGTTTAAGAGCAATGCAACTAACAATAAATAAGACTTTCACTGCACATATACTTTGTGGAGTAAAATGTCTTTGAAACTTTCAAAGTAAAAGCTTCTTTCAAATTAGAATCACCCATGAATGGTGAAAAAGGCATCAGAGGCTGCAAATGTCGGTTCCCTGCAACCCACCCACCACACATATTGAAAATATACAAACCAATGCAGAGTTAACACTGAGCATGACATGCTTCCAGAGCGGTGTCATCTCAGCAGCAGCTAGAATGTGAATCTCCATGTCCTTCCTCTCGTCCCATTATGCAACAGCCTTCAAGTTGGCACCAAGTTGTCGGGTTCTTGACTGATTCAACCCTTCCTATCATTTAAAACTTAGATTTGTCAACCTGCCACAGCTGGGTTCTTTCTAAACAATGGTAATTGAACATAGGTAACTGATACACTTGCAACAGGGCAATAAATAGTCCCAGGAACTAATCTCAAGCTTACATTGCTATGACCTTAGTGATTTAAGTAAACACACAACTATACAAATGAGCAAATAATAAGATAGAAATGGCAAAGTACGAATTAGTTACATTTAATAGTTCTTTTCATCACCAGTGATTTTTTTGGGTGTTAAAAATCAATGTTCACCAGAACCATAAAATACCTGAAAGCAAAGATGGGCCAAAACTATACGACAAACACTTCAGCAATACTCTTTAAAGATAGGTCTTTAAAGATAGAGCACCCAATGCAACAATAGTGAAGGCAAGGATAAGTAGATGGAACTACATCAAGTTAAAAAGCTTCTGTACAGCACAAGAGACATTACAAAAGACAAGCAGACATCCCACTGATTGGGAAAAAAAATTTCTCACACAAAATGAGTGATAAAGGAATGATTACAAAGATATACAAAAAACTGATGAAACTCAACAAAAATAAACAACCCCATCAAAAAAATGGGCAGGAGAAATGCAGATGGCCAAGCATATGAAAAATGTTCAACATCACTTGTCATAAGGTAGATGTTGAGATACCACCTCACCCCAGTGAGAATGGCACATCTTAAAATGGCTGGCAACAACAAATGTTGGCAAGGATGTGGAGAAAAAGGAACTCTCCTGCCCTGCTGGTGGGAGTAAAAGCCAGTACAACCACTATGGAAAACTGTTTGTAGTTTCCTCAAACTGCTAAACATGGAGCTTCCATATGACCCAGCAATCCCACTCCTAGGTATCTACCCAAAAGACACAAAAACACTGATTCAGAAAGATACCTGCACCCCCATATTTATTGCTGCCTTATTTACAATTGGAAAGACATGGAAACAGCCCAAATGCCCAAGAGTGGATAACTGGATTAAAAAGATGTGGCACATATACACAATAGAATATTACTCAGCAACCAAAATAAATAAATAAATAAATAAACACATGTCTTTTGTAGCAACATGTATGAAGCTGGAGAATATCATGCTCAGTGAAATAAGCCAGAAAGAAAAGGAAAAACACTGATGGTTTCATTCATAGTAGGAGTATAATGGACCAGGCGAGAAAATAATGATAATGATGAGCAGCTATACCAGAGACATTTTATGGGGGTAGAGTGGGGAATGGGCTCAAAAACAGTGGTGGGGAGGGAAATGCACTGGACTATGATGATGGCACATGGGTGATTTGGTGATGGGAAGCCCACAGGTATTACAACTGAGATGAAAAAATGCACAAAATGATGTAAAAATAAACTAGTATATATATAATATAAAATAAATCAATGTTCACACAGAATCAAAATAAGAAATGAATTTTCACTTTTTTCAAATGTTCATCTCCATTGTCTCATTCAAATCAGCAGGTAACTTTGTCATGCTCATAAAATGAGTGGGCTGAGATAGGATATAAATTTGCTTGGTAGCATTGCTAGGAAAGGAAGATGCTATACTAGTACCAGAAACAAAAATATCACTCATTAATGATAATGATGATTTTCTCTCTGCAAATATTAATATAAAAATATAAGAGTTGTCAGGAGATTTGTAAAACTCCCAGGATGGTTCCGACGGCCCACCTGACTTCCTTGGGAGGTACAACGGGCAGTGAGACCACTCTTCTCATTGGAAAAGCCAGCCCGACCTTACGGGGCTCATTCTGCTTATCATAAAGAATCTTAATGACCTCTGCAAATCCTGGCTCTGACTCCTATACTCTACATAGCTCTACATTTACATGAATTTTAGGTTGACTTAAACATAAAAAAAAAAAGACAGAAATAAAAAGGAACAGTAGGGTAGCCCTCTTAGGGCACTGAGGTTTGGATACACCTAACTGGGCCTACACAAACCTCCCATTGTTTCCACAGTGGGGCTTTGATCCCTTTCAATTTCTTGCATGAACTTTCCATATCTCTTTATTTTTTGGTAGGCATAGATATTTGCTGTTAAGTCTTTGCTAGTGGTACAGAATATTAAGGAGGCTGTTTATGATTCTGAGGTGCATCTCTGCATCAGAAGTCTCAAAAGCACTTTGTATCTAATAGAGGCTTTGAAGAGTTCATTGGCAGATGAATGTCACTGACTCATAAGAAGGACAAAGGAAAGGTCTAAGAAGATATAGAAGGTTCCACTTGTCAGCTCTTGCTTCTGAAAAGAGAATGTCCTTGAGCCCCACACCTGAAGTTTCTGAGGAATACAAGGAAAATAATCAAAGGGGAACAGAAGACAACCTGCAACTTGGGGAGCTTACTGCTTTAACCTGTTGGAGATTTTGATTGACCTCACAATGTCAATAGACATCATCAGAATTTAAAAGGCCTCAATGTCAGTGACCAGTCACCTAAAATTTCTGGTATCTTACTAGCAATTACTAGTCTGTGGTAGGTGATCGATAACAGCTGAAAACTTAAATATTAAAGAATGCAAATTAGACTGGTTTCTGACTTTGTTGGTATTATTTTAGGATCTCAGGTAGCAAACAGCTACTAATGAAGAGTACCAATATCTTATCCAAAAATTAGTGTGTTGGAGAAATCCTGGTGCAGGCAGTAGGAGTGTGTCCTTTGTAAAGAATTTATAAGCACTAATACAGCTGACTAATGGTGTCCTACTTTGCACTGTTGCCATGAGTCAGCAAGTCTAAACAATATTTGTGATAAAAGATTCTTCTCCAAAAAGGTATTGCTTTTCTAACTACATCATTTCTGAGTTACTGTTGAATTTTAATAGTATATATATATATATGAAAGCTTCCAGGTTGTACTTTTTATTACCCTCCCCCCCAATGATTAATTTGGCAAGGAAAGTATAGGGTACAAGAAAATTGCCCAGGCTCTGCACTATTGGCTTCCGTGATTATCACCTGTGGCCTTGAATGCAGGAGGCCCTTGGGAGCGTGGGCCCCTGGAGTATTGGTATGGCATGCATAAGGTGGCTCTGAGCTGAGAGACTGAGTGGTGTCACAGAGAATGGAGGGTAGTGGAGAGCACCAGAAAGCACAGGGAGAGTAAAGACTTGCTGGGGCTAGGAGGCCTCTCAGCCCCATGGCCCCTTGGCTCCCCCACCTGCCCTGTACCTCATTACCTCACTACAAGTGGTGTAGAAAGATCATTAAAAGTGTGAAAAAGCCAGAGGGCCCCAGGACTCTCCTCGGACTGTCTGCGTGAATCAACAGAGAACCCTCTGCTGCTTACCAGTACTATATTGCCATAGATTAGTAGGGTGATTCCATATAGATGGTGTGGAGTTCTCTGAAAACCTCTGGAGGGACTGACTGGGGGTGGCAGACCATGAGCATGTAGTGTTTGGTGGCCATCCACCTCTCTGTGGCACCTCCCAGAAGTGGCCTGAAGTGGACGAGCCCCCACTGCAGGTGGAGAGGACTCTGCACAGAGGGGAGTCACTGGACAGACATGCGCCTGCTCGGAAGGCAGGGCTGGGCTTGAGGATTCCCTCACAGTTCTGCAAATGGAGTCGAGGACAGCACTGGAGGTGCCATGGCAGCCGAGGAGGGGGCCAAAGCCGAGCAGATATGGGAGAGCTAATGGCGCTACATGAACACTAGAGGCAGACAGTCTGGGACTTGCTGGACAACACCTTGATTGAAAGACAGATGGGCTGTGAAGACTGGCCTATGACTCCAGAGGCAGTAGAATTGTCAGAAGGGAGAGAGGACCATGATTCAACATTCATTGCTCCCTTACTGCTGATGCAAAGAAAAAAAATACTGAAGAACTGACAATTCTACCAGAGTGCAGAAGAACTTCGGTTGATGTTATTTATATCCCTGGGACTTGGGGGTGGATGAAGATGAGATTCAAGGGGTGGTCAGTGGGCCTCAGTGGTCTAACGAAGCCTTGTGTGAAGTTCTCTGCAGCCAAGGACAAGGAGGTATAACAAAAGACAAATTAGACAAGGCAAAAACTGGTGCCAGGGTTGGGAAGTCCTGAGTGGTTAAAAAGCTGAAGGATGTTAAAGGCAGGTGAGTTGCTTAAAATAATCTGTGTGTGGTGTCCTGTTCACTGTCTGAATAGGGGTGAGGAGCTGAGGAACTGTGCTCGAGAGATGACTCTGGGAACATGAGCCCAGAGAACCCCCTGGTTGCCTCACTACAAGGTGTAGAAGGATCATTCAAAGCCTGAAAAATCCCCCGTGGGCTCCAGTGGTGTCTTTTCTCCCCTCTCTGCCCTGCTGCCTACTGGCACTCCAGGAAATAATTGGGAAACTCCCTACCTACACAGCATCAGCTTGCATCCCAGCCACTGTGGTCCTACATATTCTTGCATTTAAAAAAATAGATTCAATACAAACAAAGATTACACTTTGATTGTAAGGATGTGAAATAGAACTTGAATGACTTTACTTCTTTATTCTATATGGCCACTTAATTTTCCCCCTTTTAAATTGTTTAATCAAGCTACAGTTTATGTGCAGTAAGTGCTCTCAAAGGTCAATAAGTCTTGTCAAATGCATAAGTTGCATAACCACCACCACAGTCTTAATACTGAATATTTCAATTACCCCCCA